GGTTTATGGTATTTGCAAAAATACTAGGAACTGAGCTAGACGACAACCATTTGGCGACCTCTCAGGGCTGTGGTCGGCAGCCTCTGCAGCCCAGCAGAGCCTGCCAAGGTCTCGCTGGCGCTGGACAGCGCCCACCTACCCACAGAAGGAGAGGGGTGGTGGGCGGGTTTAGAGTTAAGTGTTTAGAGTTTAGATTTTAGGGTATAGGGTTTAGGGTTAAGGGTTTAGAGTTTAGATTTTAGGGTATAGGGTTTAGGGTTAAGGGTTTAGAGTTTAGATTTTAGGGTTTAGGGTTTGGAGTTTAGGGGCCTTCAGGGTCAACGAACACACACGCCAGTTGCAGCAGATCGACCGGTCTCCGGGTTGGCGTGACATCCACGCAGCCGATCTTCTCTTGAATTCGCTCGGCATCGCGGTGGGTGCAAGGCCGTGGTTATACCCCTTGCCGAGTTTCGCTGAAACAGATCTTCCTTCTCGCCTAAAAGCTCTCAGCTGGACCACCTCGAACCAGAAGCCGAGCATTAGAGCAAGTTTCCTTCGCAAAGTCCTCAGAAGGTGCATCGACTACAGTCGCGACTTCAAGTTGCATGCATTGCTCTACGACACATGCATGGCTCGGAGTATCTCTGCCATCATCAACGCGGCTAACAAGGCGCACATAGAACCCGAATATGCTGCAGAAAACTTCGACGCACTCGAGGGTTTCTGGATGGTGCAAACCCGAAGAATGGAAGATCTCTGCAGACAGATCTTCAAGAAGACGCAGGACATGACGCAGGCACTTCCCAGTATCCTCCTCACCATCGCTCCTGCGGAATGGCGCTTCGTTCTACCCGATGGCCTCATCTTTGACGAGGACCTCACAAGGCAACAAGATATTATCACCATCCACCTATATCATGCGTTGCAGACGTTGCTGGACAACCGCTGAACAAAGCGGCAGACCTGTCCCAGATCGGCATACACCGAGTCCACCATTGGAGCTTCCGATACGAGTTTCAGTCGCGAGGAACCCTGCACATCCATGCGCTGCTTTGGGCGGATCTTCTGCCAGGATGGCGAGCAGAGGATCAACGGCCGCACTGGCGAAAAACAAAGCGCTTTTCTGCAACTCTTGGAGGGTGTTTTCAAATGCAGGGCAGATGTGCAGGCCGGAGACGGATCCCACGTTTTGCTAAGATATGTCGCCGGCTATGTCGCCAAGGCGTCGGACGCTCTTCACTTCCAGACGAAGCAGTCCAACAACGTCGGCTCCACTTGGCGACAAACGTGCAGACTCTTGTGTAAGAAAGCACCCGCCGAGCAAGAGATCACCATGGATTTTGCCAGCCTGTCCATGGTCAAACACAGCTTCAGTGGCGACAGTGTCTTCCCGCCCATCCCAGGAAGCACAGCAACTAACGCATCTCGTCGCCTCTACGAGTTTTACCAGCCTTTTTTTTATAACGAAAAAAAATTCCAACATCGAAGATGTCGCCTCCCTCAGCTTTTTGCAATAGTTGCAATCTTATCAGCTGACAGAAGAAGACAAGCTGCGCCCCCGAAACAAGGCTGGCCCTGCCAAGAACAAGAAAGGCTGCGTCGACGTTAAATTCCCTTTCAAATCCTCAAAATATACATTGGGGGAATGGGGTGCCTGCTGTTTGCCGGGCATGACCGAAGAACGCCTCTTGCCAGAAGTGCCTGCAGAAGCTTGGGCAACCGACGAAATCATTCGGCGAAGATCCTGTTGTGCTCCCCGAAACTGCGAGCACCTCAAAGCCGTCTTGAGCCTCGACCTCTTCCAGATCGACGGAGCCTCTCCGCAAGAATACAATCCCGACATCGGCAAGTTCTTCAGCTTGATCGAACCGGAATTGATTCTCCGCGGTCTCAATGCCGATCGTATCACTACGTTCAAAGCCAAAGTCGAAGCCTTCAATCTTCTTCTGCTGCACATTCGAGATGGCAAAGAAGATCCTAGCTTCTGGACCCGCAGCGGAGATGGCGTTGAAGGACGACTGCAAGGTGCTCATTGTTGGCCCAATCGGCTTGCTTGTCGCCATGTATAAACTTCATCTTCCTGCTACGGACAATTTGACGATGGAGACCATACATTCGGCCCTCAAGGTGACCCGCGAGGCAGACCAGGCTTACGTGCCGCCAGGAAGGCTGCGGCGGTACGACGTGATCGTCCTGGAATGAAGTCAGCCAGATAGACGAGGAGGTCTGGGGGAAACTAAAGGTAGCTCTGGGCAAGCTTGCGCCGGGTCCTCTGGTCATCTTCGTTGGAGACTTCCAACAACTTCAACCCCTACGAGGACTGCCGCGACTCCAGATGGACTTGGACCGAGAAGCCGAAGCTGGCAAGGTGCTGCGCGTCAAGCTCCAACACCACAACCGGGCGAGGTCCATCGATCCGGAAACGCTGGACTTCCTAACGAAAGTCCGGTGTGAGCAACCCTCAAGAGCTTGCCTGGAAGACTTTTTTCCGTGGCAGGATCTGGCCGTCAGAGCCAACAGCAGCCTGCAGAAAAGCCTTCGAGCGCGAAGCCATCACAGGAAGGCCCTTCACATTCCTCACGGTCACCAACAGGCCTGCGCACGATCTCAACGCCGCCAGAGTTGCCCTCGAATATCCGGACATTGCCCAACAGCTCCGCGGCGTTGGCGGCATTTCCACTGAGACCGGAAATATTCTCCTGTCTCCAGGGATGCACGTCCGCTTGGCACGCAACGTCAGCAAGGACGAGGGCTTTGTGCGTGGAAATATCGGTCAAGTGCGGTTGGTGCTTCGAAGAGACGTCTTCATCTTGGAGACACTTCAACGAACCTCCGAGGCCAAAAATACCTGCCAGCGACCTATGGGTACGCTACAACAATTATGCGCGTTCAGGGGGCTACCTTGGAAGACGTGGGTCTGCACTTCGATCGCAGGGTGCCCGATCGTGGGTACGCCTACGTCCGAGTATTTCGCGTGAAGACACGGAGCAACGTCTTCCTTCTCGCAAAGATTCGCCGGTCAGATTGGCTGCCAGTCGGAAACCCCGTTGATGGCGAGCAAACGTGGCCCTCTGGCATGTCCGACTCCACGGACGGCGAAGAACCGGAGTCGTCCGACATGGAGAGCAGCAGTGACCAAGGTCCCAGTTCCGACGGCTTCGGAGCCTTCGATGAAAGCAACGAGAGCAACGACCGAGATCCTAGTTCCTAAGACTTCGGAGCCTTCGATGAGATCCACAAGCCCTCCTCCGGCGAGTTCGTCTTCCGAGCCTAAGCTTGCCAGTGATACCCTCGTCCGAGCGAGGTCGTCGTCTTCCGAGCGGAAGCTGACCCAGTGATCTGAAAAAGAACGCTTTGCCGATACAGCTTCGCACATCCCCCACCCACCCTTGATCATCTTTCTCCCAAGGTCACGAGCTCCTTCGACACGGCGAAGACCTCAGCTTGAGCACGTTGCGTTCGCAGCTTCGCCGCCTTATCCCCTATACCCACCCTTGATCATCTTTCTCGCAAGGGCACCAACCGGATGCAAAATGACGAATGCCGACTAATCTGCTTAAGAACGGGAGGCAAAATGACGAAATGCCGACGAATCTGCTTAAGGACGGGGGGCAGAATGACGAAATGCCGACGAATCTGCTT